AAAAAAAAAAAAAAAAGACTAGAAAGCTCCTGACTTTGATAGAATAGGATACCAAATGGTCTTCCATACCTTAGTCTCAAAGATCATACTGTCAGGAGGTCTTCTCCACTTTTTGTTTCTTCTGGGTTCTGGGTTCTCAGTCTCCCCTATGTGTCATACTTCCTTCAATAGTTTTCCTTTCTCCTTCTGCATTTTGAACCCAAAGGTGATCACAACCTCTTTTCTCTTTAGTGTAATGATGAATATACACCAATATAACCCCAGTGATGTAGCAGCTTTTCCATAAAGGTTGAGATACAGAAGGGTATTACATTCCAGTACAACATGACAAAAATTTAACATTTATCTGGGGACCTAATGTACAACATGGTGACTATAGTTAGCAGTATGGCATTATATACCTAAAAGATGCTAAGAGAATAGATCTTGAATGTTCTCACTCCCCACCCCCCAAAAAGGTAATTATGGGGAATTATGTAGTCAACTAACACTTTCGTGGTAACCATTTTGCAATATGTAAGTGTATCAAATCATCACATTATACATCTTAATCTTATACAATCTTATATGTCACTTATATCTCAATAAAGCTGGAAAGATTCTAATAATTTTAACATTTAATATTAATTATTTTCATTGTTAGGACCGCTTTGGTTCTCCTTACACTGGTTTTGAGAAATTCTCACTAGTTTTGAGAAATGTCTCTGTCACAAGACAGATTCTTGTACTGTTTTCTTGTCTTCATTCCTATGCTGAGTCTCCAATACTATTCCTCCAGATGTCTAATCTTGCCAGTTTCTTTACCCTTTCCTCCCTTTGGTAGTATTCAGTGTTCTCAAACTCTCTCCTTTCTCCCATTAGAACTTGCTCCAAACAAAGTGCAGAACTATTTTACACTAAGGAGACTATTACTGATAACAACAACAATTCTAACCTATTAGGCAGTGGGTAATTGGATAATGGAGCCTCATTAGGGGAGAATGTGTGTGTGTGTGTGTGTGTGTGTGTGTGTGTGTGTTAGGGGGAGCAGGTGATGATGTCTTACCATCTAACAAAGTTTCCCACCTGACACTAAGGAATAAGGTGCAAATGTTTGCATTTGGAGCACCTGCAAAAGGGTTCAGGAGATACTGGGGTTTCTTCAGATCAAAGAAGTACATTTCCCCCTCCCTTCCATGTTAATATTTATGATATAGGGATGTGCCTTCTAATTGATATAGTCACTGAGGCACCTGGTGGGCTCAGTCAGTTAAGCGTCTGACTCTTGACTTTGGTTCAGGTCATGATCTCAGGGACCTGGGATCAAACCCCACGTCAGGCTCCCCACTCAGCAGGCAGTATGCTTATCTCTCTCTCCCTCTGCCCCTTCCCCTGCTCTCTCTCTCTCTTAAATAAATAAATAAATAAATAAATAAATAAATCTTTTAAAAAATAATTGATATAGCCATTGAATGTGCTGGTTCTCTTGTTTTCCTTGAAAAGTTATGAATAAGTTGATTCTATGCCTTGTAATCATCATGAATCTTGCATAGAGTGAGTTTCTCTGGGAAAGAGGAAGACAGTTTGAAGACATTGAATGCTATAGAAGGGAGAAAAAGTTTTTTTTTAAATGGGAAATAACTGAGAATTAACTTAATAAATTGATGCTGTGCCTTATAGTCAGCAAAACGTTGAGAGCAAGGAATATTTTATTATGAGAGGCATGAAGCTTCCTTCACATACCAAATCATTAACCACTCTACTTCCCCATGGTTTTGAAATCTAAGACTAATGGAAGTTATGTAGACAATACTGTGTCTTGACAGTGGTTCATTAAAAACAGCAGTACTCATAGACTCGTCAGCTGCAAGCTTCTGGTATTTAACCCTGGGACCTCATAGATATAATGATAATGTTTTGAACAAATATTCTCCTGACCGGAACAAGTTGTTCACATGCCTTGTGGATTGAATATTAACACTTAGTTGGTGTTAATATTAAAGCATAAGGTAGTCAAGTATCTGAAAGCCAGAGTTCTGATTTTCTGCTGAGACTGTTACAAACAAAACCCCATTATACAATTATAATACTGAATGATAAAAATAATTAAAATCCTAGGTTAAAATAAAAATATTAAAGGCCTAGTTTCCCATTAACATGGATCATATCAAGTCTGCAAATTTACGAGAGGAATTTTAACAACAAGACACAGATAGTTCCTGGCAGAGTCTTTGCATATTTATTTGTGACTAAAAGTGTATCTTGGCCATCAGAGCTTCCTGTGGCCTAATTCAAATCCATGGAGCAAAGTAGGGAGTGAAGACAGTATCCAGATTAAACAAAAAATCAAAGATGTGTTCAGTTATCCAGATGTCAAAAGCAAAATTAGAATTTCCTCTGTTTGACAAAAATGTTTCTGGGTGGGGCATATTGAATAATATATATTTTCTTCTTTTGCTTTTTTGATTATTTCCTTATTTTCTTTTTTTTTTAAAGATTTTTTATTTATTTATTTGAGAGAGAGAGAGTGCAAACACACGTGGGGGGGAGGAGCAGAGGGAGAGGGAGAAGCAGACTCCCTGCTGAGCAGGAGCCTGATGCAGGGCTCAGTTCCAGGACCCTGAGATCATGACCTGAGCTGAAGGCAGATGCTTAATTGCCTGAGCCACCCAGGCACCCAATTTCCTTATTTTCTACAGTGGCTACTATTTCTTGATCACTATGGACCAGGCCTTGTGCCTCTATCTTCCAGAAGCTGGTTGTCTACAACAGCTGACTGACTCATACAGACACATACATATAGGTTCTTTAAAATAGCTGAGGATACTCTCAGAGTTCAAAGTGAGTACCAAGGGAGGCTACTTCCCACAGGAGCTGGGGTGGAGATGGCAGGTGTGAGTCAAGGAAGGCTCCACAGAGCAGAGGAGACAGGAACTAGATTTCATGGAATAACCAGGCTTTGTAGAGCTAGGTCTCAGGGAAGGTCATTGAGAAAGAGGAGAAGTATGAACAATAGAGAACAATAGAGAAATGTCCCCCAAAAGCTTAGTGGGGATACTTCAGGACAATTGACCCTCTAACAAGAGCAGAAACAGCAATCTATAACTGGATTTTCACCTTCCTTTTCTCATTTGTCCTAGTACTAACTCTGACTTAGCCTCCGAGTGCAAGTGTTGTAAATATCAAAATGAAGGAGAGACTGGGAGATAAAATAGAGGACTACAGATGATTTATTAATTATTGGTGAATCCATTTTCTGAGTCAAGAGAGAATCAACTATTATGTTCAGGAGTGCTCTGCTCTAAACACCAATAATAGCCAATGGGTAGATATTAGTAACTTTGATTTTACAGATCAGAGAAAAGAGGGTAGATAGTTTGAGACACTTAAAGACTCTAATAACCAGTTAAGGTCTTTTTACCCCCATGTTCCAGTTGAAGCTCAGAAAGGTTAAATGATTTGCCAACAATTACACAGCTTGCTTACAACTGAGCCAACTTGAGCAAAGGTCTCTTGATTGGCAGTCCTTCGCTCTTTTCCTTCCACACCCACAGCCTCGGAAAATTACAGGTACCCCTCCCCCACCCTCCCTTATTCAGGTAAAAGACACCCCTGAGGGTGATGTTGCATATTGCAGATTCCATTTTACTAATTAAAAATGCTGAGATGGTCAACTTGTATCACTTCCATTTTTTCCTCAGTAATGTTTAACCTTAAATCAAAAAAATCTAGAAGATAAAAGAGCATGTTATCCGGCAAGTCCATTCCACCCCCATGGTTATTAGTTTCAGAACACATCTGAATTCCTTTTCTGGCACATGCTTTAGTAGGGGAACAGAGAGGTCCTGGCCGGGTCAGATTTCAAGTTCTCATCTGTTGGTACCAATACCACTACCAGATTCTTCTTTGTCGTCAACTTCTGAGGTCTTCCCCCAGTACAACTTGGTGTCTGAAGATCCACTGAAGTGCCTGTGGTCATCATTCTCTTCCCAAAATCACAGTCTCTTCTCTTGGCAAAACATCTACTGCCCTGAGCTTTGCTTTTGGAAACAACTTCTCCCTGAGATCTGGTTGAAAGCAACTCTCTGGTGCCATACTTCCCAGCATGGAGGTGAAGAGCTTCACAGTTTGGGATTATGTTGTATTTGCAGCTCTCTTTGTCATTTCCTCTGGAATTGGGGTGTTCTTTGCTATTAAGGAGAGGAAAAAGGCAACTTCAAGGGAGTTCCTGGTCGGGGGAAGGCAAATGAGCTTTGGCCCTGTAGCGTTGTCTCTCACAGCCAGCTTCATGTCAGCTGTCACTGTCCTGGGGGCCCCCTCCGAGGTGTACCGCTTTGGGGCGTCCTTCGTGCTCTTCTTTATCGCGTATGCACTTGTCATCATCCTCACGTCAGAACTCTTTGTCCCCGTGTTCTACAGATCTGGCATCACCAGCACTTACGAGGTAAGACAACTCTTCTCTTTTTCTTCACTTTGGAAAGAGTTGCTATTTTCTCTCCACTTGGACATTTTTTCCCCCTCTCTCTAATAATATACATTGTCTTAATAACACGGGCTAGCTGAGAAGCACATTTATTTTCGGGATGATGACGCTTCATGGTAAAAACACATTTCGTTCTGGGCATCTGGGTGGCTCAGTTGTTAAGCATCTGCCTTTGGCTCAGTTCAT